AAATTCATATCTCAATAAGTTTTTAACCTATTTTAATAATTTTACTATCATTAGAATTAAAAAGACCTACTCTACAATTTTTACTTAATAATTAAAATTAGGTTACTTAATATAATTTTTATAAAATTAAATATATAAAAAATTTACCATTAGGTTTATATATAATTTTAAAATACTGCCCCCTACCCTTAAAAAATAAATAAATAAAAATAAAAAATAAGATATAATACTTTAGATAATAACTGCTAATGTTATACCTAATTAATATATCCGAATTTTAATATTTATAATTTGTTTTTTTTATCTTATATGGACTTAGATACAAATATCTTATTTTTAGTAGATTATTAGTATTGCTTCTAATAAAGTAAAAAGAATCAATTTACATACTATTTTTAATAGATTCTAAAAAAAGTGTCTCTAAAATACTATACAACTATAATAAAACATGTAGAAAAAAATTAGAATTAGAGTTTGTTTTTAAATCCAATTAGAAACAGTACTTAAGAATTTTTTTTAACTTTTGGACTATATCCAAGTTGTTCAATATACCCAAATAATTTTTTGAAACTTTAGGCATTGAACAATATCCAAGTTTAATGAATATTTGATATTTCGTTATACAGTATTTGCTTCTAGAGTTTTGTGAAGATTCAATATTTCATCAGCTTTAATTTTGATTCATTAATTCTTTTATTATTTGATGCATATAAAATTGTTCCTTTGACTTCGTATTATTTTTATGCTGATAAATTTGCTTTTTTTGTTCGTTTATATGATCTTTATGATGCATGGAAGCCGATATTACATTTCCAGTTGAAGACGTGGTAACAGTAAGGTTTAGATATTCTTGCGTAGATTTGTATCTTGTGACGAAATCTCGTCCATATATCTTAACAGAATTGAGAAACTATAATTAAGTTATTTTTATTTGACAATATTTTTAAAAATAATTTGTTATCATTTTGTTTATATTGTTGAGTATTGGTGTTTTTCGAACCGAAAATTATCATACTTTTTTTTATTACCTTGTGTAATGGAAAATCAAAAAAAATGAGCAAATTTTACTGCCTTGCAGAAATTCTTTCTTTTTTGGTATATTAATGAGTTCACTTCAAGAGTGGTTTAATGCGGCGGTTAATGAGAAAGAATTCGATGAAATCCGATATGATGACTTGAAAGAGCTTGTTCTTATTGGTCGTGGGGCTTTCGGAGAAGTCTATTCGGCGAATTGTGTGTCTACTAACAATACGGTTGCAGTAAAAAAGGTCTTTCAATCTTATCTCGAAGAACAAGATGTCTTTGATGCTTTTATTAAAGAGGTAAAATTTAAAATAAACTATTTATAATTTATTGCAGGTAGAAAGGCTATCTAATAAGATTTTCTAATTTTATATTCTAGTTAAAATTGCATAGAAAACTTGGCGAAAACGATAGGATAATCAACTTTCTTGGCATCAGCAAAGGTTGTTCCTATTATTTAAAAGCCTTCTAATAATTTGATGAAATTTATTGATGCTAATAAAACATATTCTAAACCTAAATGATGGAAGCTATTTAATTGTGATGGAGTACGCTGATGGTGGCAATTTACAACAGTTTCTAAGCGGGGAGAAAAATAATTTACTATGGATTGAGAAGCTTTCTCTTGCCCGACAATTAGCTGAAGGAATAGCCTATATTCATAGCAAAGATATATTACATCGTGATCTTGTACGTTCTTTTTATCCTTGTATTTATTAATTCATGCCGTGGCTTAGATTTCTTCAATTTAATGTTTTTAGCACGACAAAAACATTTTGGTCCATCAAAGACAAATCAAAATTGCAGATTTTGGTTTATCAAAAAATCTTAATAGCACGCTTACCACAAAATCATCTCTTCTGGGTATATTTCCATATATTGAACCGATGGCTCTTGCCAATCATCGTTATAAAAAGGATAAACGATCAGATATTTATAGTGTTGGTGTACTGTTATGGGAATTATCTAGTTGTCGTCCACCATTCGATAGCCTTCGCGATCAAACTGCAGTTTACACTTGTATTTTGCAGGGTGCTCGGGAAGCTCCAATTTCGAATACTCCTATCAAATATATGGAGCTATATAAAAGATGCTGGGATACAGAACCAGATTTGAGACCAAACATTAATGAAATTGTTGTTCGTCTAAGCACGATACGCTTGGAGCCTGTATATAGTCCACCATCACAAATGCCGGTAAACAGCGGAAGTTTGAACACACTTTTGTCATCTATAAGTAAGGAGTTTCCGAATTAAAGTTTCCATTATAATCAATGCATTTCTAATGAATTTACACATTTCAGGCTCAGGAAATAATCCGACATTAATTTTTGATGAAAATCTTGCGGTTCCATTAAAGTTGAACGATGAAATACCTCCTGATTATGGTACTTGTAAATGTGGACATAAATTCACTGATGTCGAATGGTGCAATGAATGTGAATCTGAAAATTTTCGCAGAAATTTTAACTCTTGGACGAGCGGCGATCAACGTCTTGATGAATTAATAAAGGAATCACAACTAAAAGCGACCCACGTGTCTGATTATATTGAATGGATAGAACACGATCAATTAAAAGATATAGAAAGAATTGGACAAGGTGGATTTTCCACGGTTTCTTCAGCAATATGGTGTGACGGACCACGAGAAGAATGGGATGAGGAAACGGGTCAATGGGAAAGAGCTTTTAATACTAAAGTAGCCATAAAGTATCTTGTCACATCTGAGCTAGATGCTTCTATAGTTCTGAATGAGGTAAATTTAATTCAACTATAATTTGGTCAAATTGAGTTTTTTTTCTAAATATTAAACATCTGTAAATTTAGGCTAAATTATACGTATGTTGCGATAAGATTATTCGGTTATATGGGATTACAAGAGATAATGTAACTGACACGTACGGATTAATTCAAAAGTTTGCAAGTTATGGTAGTTTACGTTCTTTTATCAAGGGAAGGCCTTTTATTGGATGGTGGCAAAAATTAAAGATACTAGAAGGAATTATTCAAGATTTAAGTCAAATTCATTTAAAAGCTGGTTATTGTCATCGAGATTTACATCCAGGAAACGTCCTAATCGATCAGGATGAATTAAGTGTATCAGTGTTAAGCGCATATATTATTGATTTTGGGTTATCTACCCCTATTGGTTCTGACATTTTCGAAAAACATATTTATGGTGTGTTGCCATACATGGCACCAGAAGTTTTAACAGGGCGTCCATATACTCCGGCAGCTGATATTTATAGTTTTGGTATAATAATGTTTGAGATAACAGCCGAAGAGCCGCTATATCATGACGAACCATATAAACATGGTCTTGCACTCGAGATAGTAGAAGGAATGCGTCCTAAAATTACCGTTGGTACTCCGAAATGTTATGTCGATGTCATGACAAGATGCTGGGATGCTGACCCATTAAAACGACCATCTAGCACTGAATTATTGAGCATAATTACCGCATGGAACAATCATTCTAGAAATGAAGATCAATTTAATTCTGCTGACAGAAAAGTTCGAGGACTTAAGAGACGTCCTAAGAAAATGGAAATTCAATCTATTAATACATCTAAAATTCTTGAAATTATAAAGGATCAGGACGTTAAGCATAGATCTACTGAATATAAATTTGCTAAAGAAAATCTTTTAGTAAAAAGTGGCCCGATTTCGTGGTTGTGAAAATTCCTGTATAATGTGCCTATTTACAAGAAAATAGAAATATTAAGAGTCGAATATTATTTTCAATCAATATTATTGCGAATAACCAATCATAATTCAGAATTCACTAACACAGACATGCGAGTGTACTATTTTTCATCTGTAATGTCCTTTTATATTATATTTTATATCGTTATTAAATAAACTTTATGGGCTAAATAATTATATTTATGCTATATTACAAATTGACATGAATGAGTAACATTGTAAAGTGTAAATCTTTATAAGTATGAATTGTGGGTTTAAGAATTTATAAATGGTATACTCATTTAAGATGGATTTCGATATGTTTTATGAATAAAAAACGATTAGGAACATCTCATCTCACGTATTCTGAAAGAACCAATCTGATTGATGATGTCAAGGTATTCAGAAAAAAAGTTTTCAAATTGTTTATCTTGTAATCCATTACCAGAAGACAAACATATATTCATTTATGCTTGAGAGCGTGTGTAAAGTTGCATTGATGGGGATATGAATTTTATATTATACCTGAAAATGATAGAAATTAAGACGTTAGTGACAATAATATTATATTGCTATACGATGTTTGTTCTTCACTTTGCTTCAGATCATAATGATGCTAGCATTTTCTGTCAATAATATCTTTGCTCAGAAAATTAAAAGTTTCTTAAACCTTTATTATATAGACTATTTATAATGAATATGATGTAAATTATGTCAAATATTTAGTTACTAAATTTGAAGATATTCAAACCCCTTTTTCACATTGTTAATTGTTATTGTTTACAAGTTTTGTGTAAAATTTCACAATGAATTTATATGAATTTGTTTATTTCGCCAAGCTTTGCAAAAACATCGAAAGTTATGGTTAGCTATATTTATCGATACATTCTTTTAGTTTTTTTATATAAAGATTTATTAATCTCTGTCAGTAGTTATACACCTGCAGCACGTGCGGGACATACTGCTGTTCTCATTGGCAATAAACTCTATTTCCTTGGTGGTCAAGTAAAAATTGGACAAGGGACAAACGAATTTTCATATCTTGATTTGTCTGTACCTTTCGATACGGCTACTGGACAACTGCCATGGACAGATCTTACAAACATCTCAAGTTCAGTACCTGCTCATTACGAGGGTCTCGCCGTCCTTAGTGGTGATAAATTGGTTCTTTACAGTGGTGTTGTTGGTAGTAGTCTTGCTGGTGGACCCCTTATATATATTTTCGATACGCAAAAGCAACTATGGAGTGTTCCGTTTATCACAGGAACTGTGCCTTCAAGGCGCAAGACAGCGACAGCTGTCATTGATACTTCGGGTAAAATGTACATGTATGTTAATGGGTTAATTTAAATGATTTTATTTGGTTTTTTTTTTTTAGAGTAAATGTGAATACTCGTCACCAGTGTTGGAAATCTGTTTTGAAATTTATGTTTTCATGAGAACGCAATTATTTATTTAATGTTCTCAAATGTTCTTAATAACAAAAATTTCTGTTGCCATTTTTAGATAATAACGGTGATTTATTCAAATTTTTGTCCTAAACTTGCTCGTCTTTTATGTTCATTCATTTTCTTTCCGGAATTTTTTGGACTTTACTCGTTAACTTCATTCAGTGTTATACTATATAGAGAACATATTTATTAAGCAATATGTTCTCAAAAAATTTTTTTATAGAGAACAAGTATGTTCTCTTGAGAACATGAGAACATCAGATTTCCAACACTGCACGTCAGTCTGGTTATATCGACATCTGGCTATAACGACACTTTTTAAAATTTTGAATCTCTCTGGTTAAACCGATATCTTGATATATCAGACAATTTCTTTATTTTTTTGAGGTGTCGATATAATCAGAGTGACGTGTACTAGAATTTACAATCATTTAAAAGTTTCCTCCTTTTATATTACAAAAAAATAGGTTTGGTGGTAGTATGGATAGTTCAACAGGAAGTTCTGTATTCGCTTTTAGCAATGAACTTGATATACTTGACACGGTGGGACTTTCATGGTCGATGGGAACGACGACTAATTCACCTTCAGGAAGAGATACTCATTCAGCAACATTGTTAAGCAATGGTATCATTGTTTTTATTGGAGGACACGATACTGCAGATTTTGTTAGCATGAGCGAGGTCTGGAATTTTACCTTAATCGTGGACTCCAAAAAAAGACATTTTTTTAACTGCTTTTTATTTACGAGAAATGTTAAAACGATGACTTCTAATTCTTTTAGCTTCCACTTTATGATACTAAACTCTCCGTGTGGTCTTCAATGGTAAGTTCTTTGGAAAACAAGAATTGATACGAATATTCGATTTACTGTATTACTGTAAAAAAAAATTTCTTTAAAAAAATACATTGGATTATTCAATTACAAAATTTTATTAGAATACAAGTGGGAATATTCCTGACAAACGTGTAGGTCATACAGCAGTTTTGGGTTAAGTATAAACGATAATTAATCGATTCGCAGTCGTTACATATATTAAATTCATCGAATATACAGTATCAGATGGCCGTATCATAATTTATTCTGGGTGGAACTGGGCAAACAATCTACAGCCTATGCCTATTGTTGCTATATTAAATGTCACTGTAACTCCTTTTCAATGGTCAGCACCGACAGTTTATAATACACCACCAAGGATCTTAATGACTCATACAGCGACCTTGGCGGGCAATTACATGATAGTTGCCTTTGGTATATACATTTATCTTGATTTTATACCTTCCTTTTTTTTTTTTAAAAAAAAAAAAATAAGTTAATAGCAAGAATTAATTGATTCTAGGAAAAGATCCTCACGATGTATATAATTCAGATATAACAATAATGGATATAAGAAACTACACATGGCTCACAGCATTCACACCAAATAGCATTATGCTTGTTAATCCCACTATAACACTTGTATCTAGTGGCATCAATGCCGGATTGCTTGTTGGCTTATTAATAGGCGCTATTGGCTTTGTAACCACTGTAATTGTGACCGCGTTCATGGTGTATCGATGGAATAAGAGACGCAAATATAGACACGCGATACCAACCGCATGAAATTCAAAAATTGAAAGATAATAAAAAAATTTAGGAATAAAACGTTATACGATAAATATACAATTATACATAATATGATTGAAAATTAAGGTAAATAGATTATTCCTTCAATGTTAATAAAGGTCGTAAATACAGATCAAATATAAATGTATTACTGATTCATGGATAATGAAAGCATATACTTTTTTTTTTACCGTAGCGATTTACTGTAAGAGTTTTCCATCAATTAACAAGTTCGAAGTAATGATAGGTCATAAAAACTGCAGATTTCCTATTATGATGGCTTTGAAAAAAAAGCCAGTCTAGTTGATAACATAAAATTTTTTGGTCTATATATCAAGATATATCAAATGTATTAACTCAGCATAGTCAAACTAATTAAAAGAAATATTACGCACATATAAAGGTTACAGAATTGATTCTAGTCATAGTTTGGTCGAGTTTGGAATTTTTTGATCCCAAATCTGGCCAAATGATCTACAAATTTGACCAGAATTATAAGTAATTGGTTCTGCTACTTACGTGAATACGTACAGTAAAAAATAGACAGTTATGAATGCAAAAAAAATCTTGTAGTATACGTCTATAAGTTTTTCCAGTCGATTGATAAGTATCGATAAGCATGTACAAACTTATTTGAAATTGTAAAGCTTTGTAAAATATTTTTACGTGTGTCCTATAAAACATTTCATTTGTTTATTACAGTATTAGTATAATCGCTATTAAGAATTATATCAAAAGTCTCGGATGATGTCTAAACAATAGTTCAAATTTATACATAACTCTCTTGTTTGTGTTTCTTTAGATCAGATAACGATAATTACAAAATGAAAGTAATATTCGAAAAAAAATTTGATGAAATATACAATATACTTTACGTATTATTAGAATATAATAGATATCTTATTATTATTATAACGCTAATTCTATTTACTTGAGTAAACGCCAAAATTGAATCAGAAACATTCCAAATCAAAATATACCTAATAAAATTCCAAACCTCATGTACTGTATCATGTTGACAAGTATATTCTAACTGATCACGATTATTTGACTTATTTAATCAATGCAATTGAATTTTCCTCTAATGGGAATATTATGTCTCCTTAGTGCCATTTGATTTTTTTAAACCAATTAACATTCACATACAACAGTTTATAAAATATATCAGCTGTGAATCCACTCTTTGAGTAAGTTGACTGATGCTTTTTTAAAATTGGATAAAATCAGCATTTTATCATATCATTTTTTTTCAATATTTTTACTTTTACATTTTTAATTGATAGAGGTTTGAAAGTATCACACATGAAGAAGAGAGTGTTTAAAAGAATGGTTTAAAAAGTCCAAAAATTTTTTAACAGTCTAATATTCAAAGAGTGTGTCTGCTTTCCCAAAGAGTACCTTTATTCAAACTTCAGATGCATCCATTTGTATATTATTATTTATTGTGAAGGCTGATATTGAAACTTAAGATCTAATTTTATATTTCTAAGAACTACAAAAATCCATTTATACTCTTTTATTATAAATATTCTAAAAAAATGCTTCTAAATTTTTTTTTATATTTAATATAAAAATATGAAAGGGTTTCAGCTCCATATTTATTAAACGAGCGCCAAAATTTATTTTACAAGAAGTTCGTTAGCGAAACTTATATGAAAAAAAATTAAATAAAGCCAATGGTAATGATAGAATTGAAGAAATTAATTCTATAAACTTAAATTCATTGTCAGTAATAATAGATATACCTCTATAATAATTCTCTTCATTTTTTGTTCACCAAATTTCTATCCATAACTATTATCGTATTTCCCGAAAATAAGTTACTTTTTTGGCAGAAAAATTACACGAAAATATCGCGAGTAGCTTATTTTTGAATAAAAGTGGGTTTTGATCAATTACAAAAACGGTTACTCAGTAAATCGCCTTTGAACTCTTAAATAAAGTGTCTATAAAATTAAATTACATATATTCTGAAAGTTTCGTATAAATTAAATAACTTTTTATTATTTAACTTTTGATTTTTACATTAATAAATATAAATTTTTAAAAAAGGTAGAATTTTTTATTAAAAATAAAATATAAAAATCTATTAATAAAAGATTTTTCTAATCTACATAAAAATATATGTATTTTGATCTTCTGAACAACTTAAGAGCCTAAAGATGATTTACTTAGTAAAGTTATGATTTTATTATATACATATCAACAATTATTAATCATAGGTAGCTTATTTTCGGAAAAACACAATACTTTAATTCAGGATTTAAACGAAGAATCCACAGCCATTAATAATTTAAAAGCCATAAATAGTCTTTATCTGGAAATGCTTTTTCAACCTTGGAGATAATCATTTTTCAATCCTACCTCTTTAATCCCCATTTTCCTTGCTGCTATTACAAGTGTTGATATTTGATTTTCATATTTCTTGCTAAATGATAAGTTTATTAAGAATATGATTTAAAGATTTTTTATATTGCATATGATAGGACATTCACAACCTAATTTATGAAGTTAGTTTGCTTGTTAAATTAAACTTGGATTGATTAATGAATGGTAGTTCAGCTCAGTAATATTGAGCGTTAAAATTCTCAAAAATGCAATATGATGACTCGGCACTTTAAAGACAACCTGATATATCAAGAAATAGTTTATAAAAATAACAGAATATTTATTTATTAATGGTAAGCACCATTTTACAAGGACTGAAATACGTTCTTTTACAGTCCAGCGATTTAGCATAAATCAAATTTCACCCTAATAGCATCTACTCTCTCGAGCAAGTTCCAAGATTTAATGCATGCGTACTCTTTAGTACCGGTTGTTACATCAATATCAATATCAAAGATCACGAGGTATCAGTGCCGAAGATTTCTGTCTACGTAAAACAACTTATGACTCGAATATCATCAGGCGAAAAAATTTCCGTTTTTTATAATAATGATAAGTATTATTACTTCCGACTGTGGTTTCTAAATTCCGATTAAAAACAAAAAAACATTTTTGGAAAACAAGCATATTACATCTCCCTGAAATTTTGTGCAATTGGGAGTATTATTTGTTGTTATCTGTATGACATAGTGAATATCTAAAAAAATTACTCCGTTATAATGGGATATACACTTTAACTAGGTCATTACATCGAGAGTAGAACGCAATATAACCGCAGGTTTTTTTCAAATAAGTCCGAACCTGTCACATTATTTATATAAAAAACTGCGATAATAATGTGAAATTTTTTCCGTCATTGTTTGCATAGGTACCTACCTGTCGGATAAATGAATATCTTACCCTTATATGCCTGTATGTACAAGCGGAAACTTCATTTCCGTTAATACCCAATGACCCCGGATATTAATTGTTTAATTGTCAATTTTAAAATGGTTAAATAATTTATTATTCACAGTTCACAAATATTATTATGTGTTCAATAACTAATATTATAAATGTTACAATACCATATTTAGCTAGAAAAATAGTATATATAGAGTTCGAATTTCTACAACTAGGTTTACAAATAACTAGAACATATTTGAAAATATCTTTTTTTTTTGACCACAAACAAAAAAGAGCAAGCTGCTCGAAATAAATAATTTCATTCAACGAAATTCATTTCAATTTATCCCTGAAAAAACAATATGGTACAGCGAATGAGAAGACCTGTTAGACCTAAAGGGTTTATGGCAAAAGTTGGTAAAACTGTTAATAAATGGTGGTCATCTATATATCGTACATGTAGTAATTGGTATAATTCTTGTAAAGAGTTTTTTAAAAATTGCTGGGACTCTTTTCTAAACCTTTTTCAAAAACAAGCATGATCAGAAAATTATGATTAAGAGTTAAAGCATAATTATAAAGGGTTAATGGCTTTTTATTTTGGTAGAAGCAATTTATGTTGGGTAGATATCACTGCGCAATATTAACATATTCTATCTATATCGATATATCAATCACCAGGATTATGTCTTTTATCACATTTTATGTATTTTATTTTATTTTTGGTTTGTTTGGTCAGTATTTAATAATCTATTAAAACATGGTATACATATGTGAATAAAGAAATATTAAAATCGATTCTATCAATTTTGAATAGCTTTAGAAGTATTAGTCAGAAAAGTATAAATAATTGCAGTCATATCTAAATGTTCAAATAAGACACTTCGTTAAATATCAATCTATAAGTTCTAATAATCTACTGTATCTTTACGTTAAATTTAGTTGGTTTGTTTGATAAAACGACTTAGAAATTTCTGGTAGGGTGCCAGGATGTCACTGGCAGATAATAATATATAGAATATATTATACAAAAGGATTAATCTTAAGTCTATTACCAATATTGTGACGTGACATATAAGCACTGATTAATTAGTATATACATCACCGCAGAATACCACATAATATCACATAATTTGGCAATTTTGTATATATAGACTTGGTGCTGAGAAAAGAGACCAAATTAACAAAAAAAACTTCGTGAAAAATTGATTTTATATTATAAATTCTATAATAAATTATAAGAAAATCCAAACGCTAAAGAGTTATACTGCAAAATTTTATTAAGATAACAGTGTTTGTTTCTTAAATAAAAAATAATTCTAAGCTCAAAAAATGATTTTTAAAAAATTGTAATTTGGTTTCTTTTCTTAGCACCTAACCCACGTGTTACTTTAAAACACGTTAAAAGAACTTTGACAACAGATATATATCATTTTTAACCAATCGTTTTCAAAATTTAGTTTAAAGTAGTTTATTTATAATAGCAAAATTACAAGATATACATATATTACTTTTTAAAAAAATTATTTTGCTTATACCGTATATTACCGATTGAAAGCAACCCTCAGATTTTGGAGCCAAAAATTTGACTACGGATATTATATTCTACTAATAAAATTGTACTCGAATAAAAGCAACTCCTTCACTTTGGCTCGAAAAAATTCTCGGTAACAGACGGTAATCAAAATTTTCCTTGAATGCTACTGTATATGTTCTTTCTTGGTTATACAAAATACTTAATTCTGATTGATCAAATATTATATCTCGCTAAATATTTAATGATTTTACACGTATAGCAAAAAAAAATTCGCGCTACGTCATCGCAGACCTTTCAGAACCCATTATGCGAATTTATATTACTTAACTGTTATATAACTATAATGATAATCAGTATCGGTATTGATTATATAACCGTTAATATAAATTTAAATATCTTATACGTATAAGGCTTCCGATGGAGTTCGGAAAGGTCGGCTATGACGTAGTCGTGATTTTTTTTGCCTACTTTGATGTTACTATTATTAGAATCTAAAAAATCTGCTTTATAATTTCATTTAAATACTTAAAAATAATTAATTTAATAAAAAATTGTAACTTAAAATATACCATCAAGTTTATATATAATTTCAAAATAATACGCCTTACCTTAAGAGTTATATATTTTAATTAGTAAGAAAAATTCTAACGTTATTACTATATAAAAGCACTTTATTAAACGCCTTGCTTTTATACGTAGTTACTCTTAACGTTAAATTTTTTATCACCTTTTAATAAACATAAATTATACTATTTCGATTTGTTCATCAAAATGTCCCTGCACAGGGATTATCTTGAGGGCCGGTCCTATTGGTTTCAGCTGGTCTTTTTCAAAAAATATGACCGATAATAAATGAACTGTCAATCATATGAAAATCCAAAGAACAAAAAAAGTCTTGATCGACCTCTATCCTAAAAAATAAATCATTTAGTCAATTTATCAGGAAAGGTTATGAATTTCGAGATTGCTCATTATAAATTAAGCATTTAAAGGGCAATTACAGTATCCTTAAAAATTACTTGACTGAATTTAATATTTAGTTTCCAAATATAGTTATTTGCTAAAGCATTGTAGCACGCGATTAAAAACCTCAATCTTAAATGTAATTAATTTTGATTATGTATGTGTAGAAATATTGTATTTGTGGATGTTATACGTATATTTGGGCTAGTTCAAACTTGCATCTAAAGATTTCGTCATTAAATATAATTTATTTAAGCCTCTTAGTTGTTACCAACGAGCATTCTAGTCACTTTTTTTTTAAAAAGATATTTCTCCTTTCCTGTCTTTATACTGATTAAATTGATCGTATACATCCAGATATTATCTGACCGTACGTGAGTCTTTATCAGAAGACATTTAAATACATATTTAAAATTTTAAGTCCTTTCTTTTTTTTCGTTATAATAAGATGATCCCCTTTTTATTTATTACGTTTTTAATCATCGGTTTATCATTTGTCTCTTCACATGTAATCAATCCATACAAACGCATGAAAAAGAACCCGAATGGGGTTGCCTTGGTTCGAATGGACCTGCTTTATGGCACAAAATTGATAAATCATATAGAACATGTAAAGGCATTAAACAGCAATCCCCCATAGATCTTAAAGTTGAAGATTTTATCAATTCTACTAAATTGAAGTTAAACGTAATCAAACCAACCGATTTAATTCTCTTAAATAATGGTCATACTTATCAAGTTCAACGTTCTGAAGGTACTATTGAAAAACCTGCATTATATGAAGATGCAACATTGAAAGTTGATGGTGAAACATATTATCTTGCTCAGTATCATTTCCATATGCCATCAGAACATCATATTGAAGGCAGAGA